AATAATTTTATCATATTTTAATCGTAAATAAATCTTTTTCATCAATTATTTTTTTAATTTAAATAAAGTAAAACAAATAAAAATTAATTTTAGTTTAATTTACAACTGCATATTTTTTTTAATGAATTATTTAATTTTTGTAAATTAAAGTGAGCCCTTAAAATCATTTTAAATTGGTTTGAAATGGAAAATAGTTTTGTAAAAATACATTATTTAAGTGAAATAAAATAATAAGATTAAATTTTATATCAATTAAAAAAAATTCATATATATAGCTTCATTATAATAGCAATATTTCATTTTCATCTTCAATGCAACGCTAATTTCATAGTATAAATTTCTTTAATTCTTTGTAATCAATGAAAAAAATACAGTATATTAAATTTCTATTGCCTCATCGGAAAATAAAAAAATAACGAAAATTACTTCCAACTGAATTAATTTTTTTTCCTCTGAATAAAATGAAATAGAAGAAGTAAATGTCACAGAATTTAGGTAAAAATAAATTGAAAACTGTATTAAAAAAAACAGATGAATTTGAAAAAAATAATTAAGTATATCTTATAAGATTTCGAGTTATCGAAAGAAAGGTTGAGATACTTTTGAGTTATTTTATGTAAAAACTACATAACAAAATAATTCTATTTTGGGAAAAAATTGGGTTGGTTTCTTTGAGAAAAAAAACTAATAAATAAATTTAACGGTTTTCCTTTCTTTATATAATCTTGTATAGCCATAGTCTGATTGTGTATGTTCCTCATCGGAGAGTTGTTCGTGGTACGTATAACATATATATGAAACTACTTCTACAGGCGTCTTGTGTAGACATCTTTTGTGTGAAACTTATGTTAAACAAAAATTGGATATATAGTTTTGTAGAGCACCTTAGTTATAGTCTTTACAGTATATATTTTTTTCTAATGTGATTATAGAGAACGACAATTGGTCAATGGTAAAATGAGGAATCATTAAATAATAGGTGCACTTTATCCATATGTTCATTGCCTTCCTTGAGCAGTTTGTTCACCGATCACTTGATTCATTATGGTTTGCTTGTCAGCAGACCTTGGTTAAGGGGGAACCCCCCCCCCCCTCCGAAACCTATCTTCTAAACGATACAACAGATTTCGATGAAAATTTCAGGAAATAGAAAAGCTAATGTAACTAGCATCTGATAAAAATTTCAACCAATCATTTTTGATAATTAAGAAGCTATACTCAATTTACTCATGAAAACGGGGGTTTTGGCACGGAACATTTTCCCGATGCGCGGTAGCATGAAAAATGTTGAACTTTGTTTCAAAATGAAGAAAAATCTTTTATCTAGAAATTGTAGGAACAGTTTTTTGAAATTCGTTTTCGTTCAATTGTAGTAATCATTTTAAACCGAAAATCGCAAAAACTGCTTTGAGCACTTTCAAAGATTTTCAAATATCTAAACAATGGAGATATATTTTGAAAATCTGTTCCGACAATTTCTAGAAAAAAGTCTCATCTTTTAAATAAATAAAAATCAGCAGAGTACATCAAGCGGTGAACTGGGAAAATGTTCCGCAATGGTCAGAAAACGATAAAAAAGTGAAGCTGAGAAAAACGAATAACAACATTGCGACGTAGTTGATGATCTTCTTGCAGAGAGAATTCGAGCATATTATATATCACTGAAAAGCGCACAAAAAGTTCTTACAGTTGGTAGTATTTTCAAGAAAAAAATAAGCCGATTTCTTAAGCTAATTTCTGAATCCAAGTTCACTGTAGCGCCATCTTTTCGAAAAATAGCCTAATTTTGAACCTTTCTTATAAGACTGCAACATCCAAAACATGATTACTCGATACGGTAATGGTTTTAGAGTGCTAATAAAGAAGGTAGAACGATATTAGTTACCGATAATTAAGAAAGAAAATCAACAAGACAGCCGATTTTCCATTATAGCGTCCAGTAAACTTGCCAAAATTGGGCAAAATATGTTCCATTCCTATATAGTTTATACATATTCTGAAAGAGGACACTTGGGGCTACAAGAAGATGTGTTTTTCCAAAAATCGACTTTTCAAGGAAAAAACGACTTTCGAAGGGGGGGTTCCCCCTTAATAACTATAATGATCAGGGTATGAAGAGAAAAGAAAAATGAATAGAAATATCTGATTTTTATATGAAAAAAATCCTATAGACAACACATGAATGAAACAAGCAAATACACTGTTTTCCATGCGGATGAATATTGTGCTGACTATTTTTTAGTACAGATTTTCACCTTTCTTTTCAATGAACAAGTAAAAATGAATGATTTTATTTAAAATTTCATTGACTATACATCGCGAAATCATTCTTGATACTGTTTACTTTGTATCAGGTTCATGTTTTGATTTGTTTAGATAAAAATTTGAGTGAAACACTTAACTCGATTCAAAATGGTTGTATCTTGTTACCAATGTCTACAAGAGAATACAATGTGTTATCTGAGAAAGACAACTCTCATAAACCATCCTAAACTCATCACCTTCAACGATCAAAATGGTGTAGACTGCAGTCATTGTCATCATCCTGTAGAAGCTCATTTCGACTATGGTAAGTACACTCATATATAGTAGTACTCAAAATCGATCATACGCTTAATAGCTGAGCTTGCATATATAAGATCTCGACAATCATGCAAAGCTTTCAATTTACACTTTCACCAAAATGTAGCTTAGTACTTATGGACTGTTTTTAGAGCACTCGTCTTTACCCATGCGATTCCAACTGGACAAGAAGTTGAAGATATCTCAGCAGTAGTTTTATTCTTTAACAGTATTGTCAAGGTTCGAACCTACTGAACCGTAGTTCTATGATTCTAAGATTAAATGTTAATTGTTCTAGGCGGCAAATAGGCTAAGAAGATTTTGTTGACAAAAAAGTTCTATATAATTATGTTTTATACTTAAATATCGTAACTTGTTCTTGAGTGAAATCTAACTGTGTTATATCCTGCCATCTATATTTTATATTTCTATATTTCTTTCGCGTGTGTGATTGTTTCCTTTTCTTTTGTTGGTCTTGTGGTTAATGGTGATACAAGAATAAACTAGTCAGTTATGCTTTAACTTAAACGAACTCGAACGTCCATAAGATTAAGTGCAAATAAAAGCATAACAGTGGTGACAGCGGTTTAGAAAAAAAAAGATTTTTTTTCTTTTTTAATTCAACGACGGTTATAATTTCTTAAAGAAGGAATCCTTCTTAATTAGGAGTTGATTCTGTCCTACGTATTCAACGACGAAACTTAATTTTCAATTATGACTAATGATGATTCACCTTCGAATTTAAATGAAGATACAAAAACAATCGAAAAAACGATGCAACCAGTTCTTACAACACAAGCACAACATATAAGTACACCAAACGAGTCAGTACGTCGACATGTTCGAATTTTAACAGAAGAAGAAAGAATTAGTACAGATAAATGGTTATCCATATTGAATCAAGTTTATGATGATTTGAATTATTCACCAGCACAGCGTATAGCCTATGCGGTCAAATTTTTAGATGAAGAACAAAAAGCATGGTATGAACAAAATAAAGATGAAATTAAGAATGATTGGACATTATTTCGTGAACGATTAGAACACAATTCATCTAATCATAAATTAATTCGAACAACTGCTCCGTCGATTAATACTTCAATATTAAACAATACGGGACGAGTTGTACTTGAAGACCTTATCGATGAAAAGTTTGACAAATATTCAGGTGTTGGTGATGCAAGAAATTGGTTATTGCAAACCATGAATCAGTTTAAAGCATGTGGTTTACGACGTGATGATCAATTTGAAGCTATACCTTTATTATTAGAGGGCGATGCTTATTTATGGTATACTGACAACAGCGATGCAATTTTCAACTTCGAAACATTTACCAAGTTATTTCTTCAACAATTCAAATCAACGATATCATCATCAACAAGTTTTACAGGGGGTACGGGCACATTAGTGACCACAGTACCTGATCACTCATCTATATCACATTTACAACGAACCGTAGCGGATGAAATTATTAAGAAACCAACATATTTTCGTGGTTCACAAGATGATGTACACGATTGGTTAGATAAGTTAGAACAACGTTTTACAATGGCTAATTGGAATGATGAACAAAAATTACGATATATTTCCATACATTTACAAGATGATGCATACAGATGGTGGATGCAAACATCCACATCAATTAAAACATGGTCAGCATTTATTACAGCTATTACACAAGCTTTTGGATCAACAAAGGTACAAGAATTAGCATTTGAACAATTAAAATGGTATAAACAAACAGTTAATCAATCCATCACACAATATTATGATAAAATTATTGAATTATGTAAAAAAGTCGATCCTGTAATGCCTGATTCTTTGAAATTGAAATATTTAATGGCTGGAATGAAAGAATCATTGAAAATGCATGTAGCATTACAAGATCCCAAAACAACTGAAGCATTTCTATTATCGGCAAGGAAGGTTGAAGATGTATTATCACTCACCAAAACAAATAATGAATTACCGGACAATGATATTACCATTATTAATGCAACTAGTTATCAAAATCAATTACGTAATCAAGCAACATTCACACAAACATCAAACAATAAATTTAATCAAAAAAATACTGGCTATGCAGATGCAGCACAAACTCGTACAACTTCTAATAAGAATACAACAGCTGGAAATAACGCAAATCGACAAAATAAATTTTCAAATTTTACAAGATCAACACAGAAATTAGGTGTTTGTTACAATTGTGGTACTCCTGGCCATTATGCCCGGGATTGTACCCGTCCCCATTTTCAATAGGGGAAGCATCGGTCGATGGTGTTGCTTCCAAAAATTTACATATCAATCCATCGACATTAAACACATCCCTTTTATATCTTAATGTTTCTGTTAATAATAAATGTATGAAGGTAATGATAGATACAGGAGCAAATAGAACTTTTATCTCAATTAAATCATTAGATCCATCATCAGGTAAGATGTTTGTTAATAAATTACATAAGCGTGTAATTTTAGCTGATGGATGTTCGTCTATTTCTGTTTACGGTACATTAAATTTATCTATCATTATGGGTGATACATCAACTTCTATTAAAGCATTTGTTGTTAAAGAATTATGTGCTGATTGTATACTAGGAATGGATTTTATCAACAAGTATAAACTAATTATAAATACAGAAGAAAAAATTGTTTCACTGTATAATAATTATAAACGTACAACATTAAAATTTGATATTAATTCAAATGAAAATAAATATCCAGCACGTCTAATTAATAATATTCGAATTCCACCAAAACAGACAAGGTCTATTCCTGTTTCTATTGAACTATTATCAGCTAATGTAATATTTCGTCCATCGTTTAAATTACGACAACGAACATCTGTACCCACGTTAAATTCTTCATTAAAAGTTCATGATTATACCTCGAATGTTTCACTTTATAATCCAACAGATTATTCATGTTCATTACCGAAAGGTTTAATACTGGGAACAACTACTATTCCTACATTATCTTTTAGTAAATGTACATCTATTGATCATCAATTAGTTAATGATAACATCAATAAATTAATTCGACATATTACAGATTCAACACAAAGAGAAGAAATCAAGACAATCCTTCATCAACATGAAAAACTCTTCGATACAAGTAAACCTGCAATAGCTATTAATGTGAAACCGCATGAAATTAAAACACTTGATCATCCTCCACCATCATCTAGACCATACTATTCAACACCTCACAAAGAAGAAGAAATGTACAAGATCGTTCAAGAATTATTATATTATGGTTTAATTCGTAAATCTTATTCTCCATTCGCAGCACCAGCATTATTAGTGGCTAAACATGATGGATCATGGCGAATGGTAGTCGATTACAAAAAATTAAATAATATGACAATTAAAGACAATCATCCATTACCTAATATGGAACAAACAATACGACGATTAGGTGGTGGTTACAAATTCTTTTCAAAATTAGATATGAAAAGTGGATTTTGGCAAATACCAATTAAAGAGGAGGACAAACATAAAACAGCATTCATTACAGCTGATGGATTATATGAATGGAATGTATTAGCTCAAGGTTTGAAGAATAGTCCACCATCATTTCAAAGAGTAATGGCCGATATATTATCTCCTTGTCGGCAATTTTCATTAGTTTACATCGATGATATTGTGGTATTCTCTCGTTCATTTGAAGAACATCTTAATCATCTTCAACAATTATTATGTATTTTATCTAAATATAATTTTCAACTCAATCCACCAAAATGTAAATTATTCCATCAGAAAATTGATTATTTATCTCATATTATATCTGAAGGAGGTTTTCAACCAAATAACGAAAGAATTCAATCAATTATGAATTTGAGGGAACCTTCTACGTTAGTAGAGGCGAATAAGTTCCTGGGTGGTTTGTCATGGTATAGGAAATTTATTCCACGATTTGCATCCATGGCTGCACCTATTCACAAAGTAACAAATTTAACAAAAAACAATAGGAAAAATTTTAGATGGGAAAAGCCACAACACGAAGCATTTTTACAATTGAAACAGTTCTTAATAACTTCTCCATTATTTCTTGATTATCCAAATGATAATTATCCAGTCATCTTGACAACAGATGCATCGAAAGTTGGTATTGGGGGAACCTTACAACAGAATATTAATGGTGAAATTAGGAATCTTTATTATCATTCACAAGTAACATCTTCTACTCAAAGAAAATATGATCCAATCGAATTAGAAGCACTAGCAATATGGATGTGTTTCCAACGTATGCGATCTTATTTATTAGGAAGATCAATTATCATTTACACTGATCATTGTCCATTATGTAACATGATGAGTTCAACAGTGAAGAACCGAAGAGTTGATCGTATATCAATATTATTACAAGAATTTAATATTGAAAAAATTATCCATATTAAAGGTCAACACAATTGTTTAGCTGATTACTTATCCCGTCATCCAATTCCAAGCGAAGAAGAAATATTTGATGAAGATTATGGTATTGTTAAACGAGATAAAGGGGAACCGACTGTTATGGGTCGTGTTCCTGATGAGACTACTCCACTAGCTGGAGCAGTTATGACAAGATCCAAAGTGAAACAATTACAATTAAAACAAGATCAAAATTCAACAACAACACCAACAGATAGAAATAAGATAACATTACCACCAATAGAAGAAGAAACTGATCAAATGAAAGAAGATCCATCACAAATTATTGCAAAAAATACACTGGATATAGAGTTATTAAAAATTGAACAAGGAAAAGATTCGGATATTCAACAAAAAATTGCAGAAGTTATGAAAAATCCAATTAAAAGTACTTATGAATTCAAGAATGGTTTATTATATAAGTTAATGATTATGCGTGAAGGTTGTAATACGAAGAAAAAATTAATTTATTTACCTTCATCTATGATTAATGATCTTTTACAAGTTTATCATAGTGACCCTCTTAGTGGTCATTTTGGAGTCCAACGAACATATTTGAAAATTAAAAATAAATATTGGTGGCCGAATATGAAGCAATCTATTACACAATATATACAATCATGTTTACCTTGTCAACAATATAATATTAGTCGATTGAAGAAACCTGGTCGATTACAACCAATTCCACCACCTGAAGGACCGTTTCAATTAATTGGTATGGATTATTGTGGTCCATTTAAGCAAACTCCACGTGGTAATCAATATGTATTATGTCTTACAGATTATTTTACGAGATGGGTGGTTGCTGCTGCTGTACCTGATTGCTCAGCTCAAACTACTGCTGAGGCATTATTTAATGAATTCATTTGCAAGTATGGGGTACCGGCAGTAATACTATCCGATCAAGGAACGCACTTTCATAATCAATTAATGGAAGCAATGTCGAAATTGATTGGATATAATCATACTTATTCAACAACATACCATCCTCAATCAAATGGAATGATAGAAAGGTTCAACGCAACATTTGTACCACAAATTGCCAAACTTCAAGATAAAGAAAACAACAATTGGGATGAATTTTTATTACCTGTAGTATTTGCATATAATACAGGAACGCATTCAACAACTCAATATTCACCATTTCAATTATTATATGGTCGAGAACCAAGATTACCTACTGATGGACAAAAATCTTCCTTCACATTTCATAAACCAAATGATTATTATGAGCAATTAAAGAAAAGTATGAAATTGATACATGGATATGCTCGCGAAAATATTATTCGTAAACAACGTCAATATAAAACTCAATATGATAAACGACGTCCTGATCCTCATTATGCAATAAATGATCGTGTTTTAATTAGAAGACATGGAATGAAAAATAAATTAGAACCAAAATTTTCAATTACACCACAAATTATTATTCGTGCACAACATCCTGTTTACGTCGTTCGAGATGAAATAACTCAAATTGAAACACAAGTGCACATAAACGATATTAGACCCATTTATATTTCAAAATTAAATTAATAAAAAAAATAATAATACATAGCAAAAAAAAAACAAAACAAAACAACAAGACAAAAATCAACAACAAAACATTTATTAATATTATATTAATATTCTTATAAATATTTTTTATCATTTTTATTATTTATTCATTGATAAATATTTCTTATTGATTTTAGAAAAGATTTATGTGAATGATGGTTTATGTTAAACTATGTTGGATGTATGCGCAACAACTGATATGGAATAACATTTATCATCTATGAATTGGATTAATTGATATTTTAATATGTGCACATTAAAAAATCAATTTTATTATCAAATCCAAATGGAAAATTAATAATGATTATATTTACAATTATATAAAAAAAAAAAAATGAAAAAATGATAATGATGAATCATTGATGGAAACTTTCTTGAAAGGAATGTTTCTGAATAAACCAATCCGAATAATTGTTAATTCGTCCTTATGTTAATGACACCTGTGGTCAATAATATATAACAAGTGAATTTTGTTCAAAAATGGATGACCAAGGGCTATTGGTCAATATCGTCTTCAAATGAATACCCTTTATTTTATTTATTATTTATAAGTTTTATCATATGATTCACTAATTCAAGATATTGTGAAACAGTAATTATCCAGTGATTCACTTCAACTTTCGATTTGTTTAATTGATCATTTATTTACATTAAATTATCGTCATGTTCAAATCAAATTATTCATCTCAACGCTCATCATTTCGTTCACATCATCCATCATCTCATCATTCACCATCACATCAATCACATCGTTTACATTTACATGAAAAATATTCAACATTTCATGTTCACTCGTCAGATTATGAAGTTGTATTTGTGAATAACGAAACATCAACAAATACAATGAACAAATTATTGAATCATGTGAATACATGCAAACAATATTCGATAGACACCGAATCTGAACGAGCAAACAATCAATTATCATTAATACAAATTAATTCAATACCAATTGAAACACCATCACGTGTAATGTTATTCGAACTGAAGCACTTACCGGATCAACATTCACAAAAGTATGAAAAAATTCTTCAAATGTTTCAATTAATTTTTAGGTTGGACAATGAAATTTATTCTTGGGGAAACATGCACAGGGAACTTGAACCAGCAAAAGATTTAATTATCTGGCCAATTCCAGCAGAATTAATTGATATTCAACCACATTTTTCGGTGTGGTATGATTGGGCACGGACCCAGTGTGGGGTCCAGAGCCTGTCACATCGAAATGATAAGAACAACGATAATGAAATTATACAACAACATCATCAACAATCATCATGTCATTGTCATCCACCATCACCATACAAAATCAATGAACTTTGGTCTCTTCAAAATGCATTTATGTATGGATGTAAATTATTTATCGACAAATCATGCAGATTAAGTCATTGGTCATTAAGTTTATCATCAAGTCATTCATCATTATCACATGTTGAACGAATGAAGATGATCCATTATGCTACACATGATGTTATGGCTGTTACATTTTTAGTACGACCAATTACTGAACAATGGACATTTGAAAAAATTAAAAATAGGAAAATGAATGAAATGCTCGTCGCATTTAATTCAATTAAACTTCCACCATTATCAACATCAAAAAATAAAAAAATTAAGAACATCAACATGCAAAAATTCGCTACATTATTTAGGTGTAATGATCCAGCAGCAGAACAAATTTCGTCGGATGATGAGATATATTTGAATCAATTAATTGAACCGAATGATTTTAAAAATGAACAAGATCAAATTGAACCAATTGATGTTGATTATACACCAGTCATCAATGATGATGAACCAACTGAACCAATACAACAACGAGAACCTGAACCAACTGAACAAGAATTAAATGGTATTGAATTAATTATTAATGCTGAAAATCAACTTGAAGAACATCATGATAATGAAGGAATTAAACCAAATGAAGGTCTTGAGAAAAATCCACCAAAAAGGAAAAATAAACCACATCGTCATCGTGAACGTTCACAAGCAGCAAGAAAACGAAAAAACAAAAAAAGAACTAAGAAACTTCGTCTACATCGTTATCGATATTGTGTTACTCAACCATTATATTTTAAATATCCAATGGCATTGGTGAGAATGGTATTAGATGAATACAATATCGATTATGTACACGTTAAGAGACAAGAAGGATATTTAGTAGTTGGTCTGAAGAACAAGTTAATCAAGAAACAATATGAACGACAAATACCAGAAGATTTATTTGATGGAAGAAATTATCAACGTCATTATCGACGACAACGACGAACAAGATAAATTAAAAACATTTTTTTTTGTTAATTCTTTTCTCCTATCTTCTCTTCCCGTGTGATATCTCTCGTTATTGTTATATATTTCTTTTTTTTCCTTTTCTTTCGATGTGATATGTCCTGGTATGATCTGATACAGTTATATTTTCTTTAAGTTTTTTTTTCCTTTCTTTTCTACTGTTGTTTATCTCCTTTTTTGAAATAGTAAAAAAGTTTTTGGTGAACAAAAAACTTTTTTCTCTAGTGGATAAGGGTGTTATATCCTGCCATCTATATTTTATATTTCTATATTTCTTTCGCGTGTGTGATTGTTTCCTTTTCTTTTGTTGGTCTTGTGGTTAATGGTGATACAAGAATAAACTAGTCAGTTATGCTTTAACTTAAACGAACTCGAACGTCCATAAGATTAAGTGCAAATAAAAGCATAACAAACTGTTTCTGAGAAAAATATGAATAACGGTTAGAAGCTTCACTCAAGAATAACCTGCAGCATATACATACAAAAACTATAAGCAACTTTTGACTAACAAATGCACTAAATCAATTTGTTGCTTAGAAAAGTTTACATTTATTGTTAGAATTATAAGACTATGAATTGTAGATATGAAAAACAATCGTTGATTCTGTTTTGCTGTAGGATTTTGTTGATTAGACAATATTCAGATCGATCTAAATAAAAGAAAACCAGCTTGTATTAATAGATACCTCATATACTTCGTTACTTTTTTGACCGTCAGTATACCCTAGTAGTTCAAGCAAATGTACGCCATGTGTATTCATGAAAATAGTTGATGTAGCTATCTGTGGACAAAAGTAAAATTGTACGGTTTCAATTTGAGTCAAAGTTGACCCTAAACTTCATTTTTCTTGGAAAATGACATTTTGTTGGAATATTAACAATATAATCGAGTTATATTTTAATATAAGTTCTCTAAGTCCGATATGATCTCTAACTCTATTGAAAGCGGATGAAAAGTGATATCATATCTTTCCCTTTACTTTACTTTACCAAGAATTGAAAGCAAATTTAACGATTTTTTATTGTCAAACTTCTTCGTGTTATGATTTTTTTCCACATACAGTTCTGTGAAAAATTTTAGGATCACTTATTCGTGTGGATTTGTTTGCCTGTTCTCTGGTAATCTAGACTACCCAAAAAAGCAAAGTGTACGCTAATAGATGTATTCTGGTGTGCTCCATCCAATTAATTAATCAGGTCCCTAATACTATAACTGCCGAAACACTGGAAACTCACTGAAACTCACAAATGACCGTTTCGCTCTCTTAGCTTTGACCCTGTGCTAATTTCCAAATTTAAAACGTGTATCGAATTCCCAAACATGTTGTTTTGTAGAAAAACGCATTCTCTATCCGAATCCATCGTCAAACAACCAATCATACCTTCACTTGGAATAGCCTGGATGTAATACTGAAGTTAAGTCATGTTTTCAAGCCATTTTAGTTTGATCAGTAAGATCGCATTTTCAAAGCTTTGGGGATCAAAATGCTCAGCAGGAGATCCTCGATTAGTGTATCTGACTTTCAATCAAAATGCAAGTCTAATCGATTCGAGAATAATTAGAATGCGATACTGATTCTATAATTTTTCATAGACCAAAACACACCTATTTCACTAACTATTGGTTTTTCCCAAATCGAGTAGTAGTGTTAGGGATCTGATTAACTAGTTGGATGGAACACACTCGAATACATATATTACCGTACACTTCGCTTTTTTGGGTAGTGTAGGTTACCAGAGAGCAGGCAAACAAATCCACACGAACAAATGGTTCTAAAATTTTTCATAGAACTGCAAATTTTATCAAAACTAGGGTAGGAAAATTCTGCCTGTTGCATGCATTCGAAAGAATTATCGATAGAATCAATTAGCATTTCACTTACGCCATTTTCAATTCTGTCAGCAAGATTTCTTTCAAGTCTTGTTCATTTCTCGATGCTGGCGTAAATGTTCGATTATGACGATTTTACTCAACTCGAGCGTTCAATGGAGTTAAAATCAACACTTTGAAATAGCCGATTCAGACGTTTTTCGCTTTGCAATCTGTGTTTAAGATCATTGTCATGTTTGACAATAAAATTATATTCTAGCCTCTTTTTTCTGGTTCACTGAAACAGATTTCTTCTCTTCTTGAGAATATTTTTGTATGATTCATGCATTAAAGTTTCATTAGTAACCGCTAAAATCTCTATCCCTTGGCGACTAATTGAATCCCATAAATCAGAATTTCCAGAATGATGTTTCACTAGGAACAGTGTGCTATCTAATTGAACTAACATTCACAAGACCATGTCACACTTTCTTAAAAACAATAATTTTTCTTCATGAACTCTATTTGAGAGATTAAGTGTATTCATTCGTTTTCAATATTCAAAAATAGTATTTTGCGTCTTCTCTATCGAAATATCTAGCCTCATTCATTCGATGTTTGTCTTTTGACGAAGATACTTTCACTTCCAATAGATTTTCTTCGTTCAAAAATCAATGTTCCCTTTATAAGAGAATTCTTTCGTTTTCACATGACTTTTTTCGCCTCGGCCAGGAAATGACTGAGCAATTGTGTGTATTTGATACTTTTTGGCCATTTCCTTAGTGTTACAACTGGGAACGTAAACGACCGATCTAGATTTTTTTTCGAGTTTTTGCGTGTTTTTTTTAAACCAGTCATACGAGTGTCATTTTTACTGATATGATCAAGTAGGTTTTGACTTATAGAAACGTATGTGTCTGACGCCACAAAACTAACCTATGCGAATTTGCACACAGAAACGATAACCGATAACCGATAATAAACTATTGATATTGAAATGGCTAGGGAGTACTTCTTCAGTTTGCTGCAGACTATGAAAATAAATAATTGACGTTACTATTCATTCTCTTTCCACAAAGAGATCACATCGGACTTAGAAAATTTACATGCAATAGTAACTTGATTATTTTTTTATCATTCTAATAAAATGTCATTTTCGAAGAAAAACTAGGTTTATGATCAATTTTGACTCAAATTGAAACCGCATAATTTTATTTTTTTTCGACAGATAACTACATCAAGTGTTTGATGGATGAAGACGAGTAGTTTAAAAACACCCCGTAAGTCCTATGCTGCATTTTAGTGAAAATTATGACTCGAAGTCATGCATGGTTGTAGATATCTTATATATACAAGTTTAGCCATCAATTACATGATCGATTGTGAGCGCCACAGTAGTCGAAAGACATTCAAAAGAGATTAGTTTAATTTTCAAAAGAAATGATGTGATTAAATTCTGCTTGCTGCTCTCTACTGTAGAATATATGTGTTCGACTTAAGTTTTCATTCCACCAACTCTGAAAACGTGGACTCTTTCTAAAACCCATACAGCTTCAGATATTTCTCGATTTGCAAGATTCTATCAAATTGTTTTCGGTGCCACTAGGTATCAACGTACAGTAAAGTCAATGAATTAAATGAGGATGTGAGTTGACTCCTCGAGTTTATTTAGCTTTTGACAAATTTCTAGCGTTTTGTATTTCACCCGTCGAATGTAGTGCTTTGAATGGGTCGAATAAATTCCGAAAAACATCTAAAGTTCTTTCTGAAGAATTTAATGCATGTTGAATTTATCGAAAAGAAAAAAATATATTGACTGCAAATTATGAATTTCAATAAACCTGTTAAGATCACCATTTTTTCAGACATCAGTTTCTTCTTTTCTAGAATTGTTACGGATGCCTACTGATATGAAGAAATTTTTGATGATAGCATATATGAAGAAAGCAAACATTGCATTTATTTCGATTGGAATGAAATAGGAAAGAGAATCAATGTATTAAAGACGAATTTGCATAATGAGAGAACTAAGCCTTACAAGCACATTATACAATAGTAATAAATAGACTTTCAGCAAGCTTTGTTGATCTCTCCAATGGAAACATGAAAAGAAAAACTTTTTAATTCTATCTTTGAGATATTTTTGGCTGTTTTTTCTCTTAGTTTCCGATCGCAATCGTTTTCCTTTTTCATCGGCTATGAGAAATTGTGATAGAATTTTAAGCGGAGAATTATGAGCTGTGCATAATACTAACCAGAGCTGCCAGCCTGGTCTGGTGCGTGACAGGCACCAGTTCAGGGTGGCACGCCAGATTGAATTCTTAAATTTTAGTCTGGCCTAATCAGGCCAAAACTGTTGGCCTGGATCCGATGTAATACTAACTTTTCGGTCCGCAGAAGTGAACCAAACTCTAATCCATAGTCCATGATTCACCAATATTGGTTGTAATGCCAATAGAATTCTCAAGAGATGTTCCTAATGTTCGAATTGGCTTTCATGAAATTTGATCATGATAGTCATCACTTAGTATTTTTTCGTCTTGATGATTAGCTGAAAATCGGGTGACATTGATTCTATATGCTGAATCTTTCAGCAACGAAAATGCACAGCAGTTAAATTAACAGTAGTTGGACACCACTAAAACAAATATTTTGAAAATATCATATAACTTATCAAACTATCAATTTTGTTTTTGAGTAGCAAGGAGTCCAAAGCATAACTTACGCTAACTGATAGAAGAATCGCTTTGAATTCAGAACAGCTGGATAATATGCTTTGTATTCGTACTGCATCGAAATTTGATAGACAACTGTAAATCTCCTATCTTGTTTTTATTGTTATTACTCTCTTTATTTTCTAAATTTTTTATGCATGTTTCCTTGGAACCCTAAGTAACATGCCTTGTCGTATGTTGTTCTTTTGTTATTATGGATAGCTTTTTTTCGACTGCGTGAAAGAGCACTGACGTCATCATAACATTTTGTAAATTCTAGTATATATTTTAGGAAAAGTATAGACAATGCTTATCTCTTTGTTTTAATTTGTTTTTTTTCTGGAAGAGAATGTAACTGTATTAGTTTCGTGAAAGTACATGAAATAAATAACTGAAATTGATGTCATAAATTAATTCAAAGTTGTAAATTTATGGATTGGAAAAGTCAGAAAAAATAGTTTGCC